TTTTTTTTATTCAACGGCCTCGAAGACTTCGAGAGAAAGAATGACAGATTGAGAAAGGAAAAGAAAGAAAGAGAGAGAGAGAAAGAGAAAGAGAGAGAGAGAGAGAGAAAGAAAGAAAAAGAGAGAGAGAGAAAGAGAGGATGAGCACGTTTTCTAGACGTCGTACTATTGGAACGCTCTGCAAGGAGTGTAAAAGCATCGATCCGCTAAAAAGCACTATAAGGGTGACGTCGTGAGTTCAGGATGTTCCCCATTTTCTTCTCCTCTTGGTTTTTGCTTTCGATCGCGGACATATAATATATCTCGAGCAGGCCCGCTCGAAAACTTACGTTACTTGATTTTCAACTTGTCTCAAGTAAATTAATTCATATTTAATAACTGACTTACATTTACAAGTCACCAAGTTGTGCAGAATGAATGAATTTCTATTTGGCAGCCAGAAATAATTTCGTTTACTTTTCAGAGTGAAATTACAGAATAAAAAAATCATTCAAAATTTACGAATTACTACGAGCAGTCGTTCGAAATTACTTTAGGAACACATAGAACGACATAGCAATCTGTTCGATTGATTAAATACGTTCGGTTTCTCACTGACTGGCTGCGACTCGTTGATAACAGATGTTAGGAAGCTTTTCAGGAGATTTTCACGCTATTGCTGATCTCACTTGTTCCAGCGGACAAGCATCAATCGATTCTGTTGTGGCAACGTGGCGAACACGGGGAACATCCGACACCCATGTGCAGAGGAATCGGAGTATCCTAGCTCTATCCTAATTGTACTCGGTTCTCATGACCACTGTAGCATCTCATATCCGCGAATAACCTACGTCTCATAACCGTGACTCACATACATACACACATCGCGATCGTACCGTAACGTTTCGACCGCTACCGGCGCCCACGTTTGGCAATGCTCGCGACGAGTGTGTACAAATACTTATTATGCAGATATGCGTAACTCGAAACGTTCACCCTAGCCGCTAAAGAGAGACAGAGAAAGAGAAAGAAAGAAAGAAAGAGAGAGAGAGAGAGATAGAGAGAAAGAACACGGCTCGCTACGAACGTTTGCTTCTTTTTTTTTCTCATCAGTATCACAGAACGTGTTTTTCTCAAAAGAAATAGAAAGAGACAGAACAGAGAGATAGAAGGAGAAGAAGTAGAAGAAGAAGAAGAAGAAGTTAAGGCAAAGAAATAGAAAGAAAGTAAGAAAGAAAGAGAAAGAAAGAAAAAAGAGAGACAGACAGGCTGGGCCACACTTACGTGAAAGAAAATAGCGCGGAAATGAGGATAAAATGCAGCACAGTTCATGTGAAAAGAAAAACAGTTATCAGAGGTTATAGTTCAGCTGCACGGGCGAGCCGCCGCTGGATAACGCTTGTGGATGCATGTGTATCTTATCTTTGGTTAAATTTCGCTTAGATTTTACAATGACGCGTACTTTACTACTTCGCTGTGTCGCTCTAGCCGGAAACGTTCGATGAATTTTTCGTGTTTTTTTTTTTTTCTTTTTTTCTGTTTTCGTTGTTCTCCAGTGAGAACGTTCGCTGTTTTCCAAGCGACGCGCAAGATGCGAGTTCGCGCTCGTTTTAACGCCAATATGGCGCGACCTTGACTAACAACGAGAGCCGGATCCTCTGGCTAATGCCATCTTCATTGTGTCGACGCTCTCATTTTTTTAAAAAAATTCGTCACTCGAACTTCTAACACTTTTCGTTTTTCTTTTACCTTTCTGCTACTTTTTTCTCTGTCGAGATCGAAATGTCGTTCCGCTTGAAATTAGTTTCTTTATGCGACGCAGCTCGTTTGCGCGATCAGATGTTTGACTATTCCTTGGGCTGATGGCAATACGAAGGTGTTTCCGTTTCTTGGTTTCTTCGTCAGAAGATCGTGAAGGCAATAGCAAAACTGTATTTTTGCTTTTTTTTTCTTTGATGAGAAATTTAATCTGAATGACGAATCTCCCGGAGGATCTATCTCGTTTCAATGAAATTTTAAAAGTTTCGTACTTTCATTAACCCAAGAAACATCGAGGCTTGTGCAGATTGAGTCTCAACGTATGGAAAACGTTCGATCACGTCGGAGAACGAATCACGTTTATTCCGAAAATTTCCTCTCGAAATGTTGAATGGAGAACCAACTGACGAAAAGAGGAACTAGGCGAGAGAAATATAGATGTAACATTGGGAGCAGAAGGGTTTCCAGTTTACTGGATCGGCGAAACGTGCCGGGTATCTCTCGTTGAAATTTAAAATTCAAGAGGTTTCAAAATATCTTCAAATTTAATCAAAATTCTCGATCGAGGAAACGTAGGTTTTTAAAAACTTTCCAATCTAATTCCGAATTATGGTCAGATCGAACGGATCTGCAAATAAAACCGCGAGAATGTGACTCTGCTCCCAACGCTGCCTCTTCATTCCAAACTTAATTTAGCTTGACCCCCTCGCAGTTCTCGAACTTTTTCGTAAACTTCAATTCAGTCTCACCGTTTGTTTGTCAAATTTCTTGGAAAGTATCGCCCGTGTGCCCGTCGTGAACTTCGACAATCTCCCCGAACAAGTTGAGAGACAATCTGCACGTTTAAAACAGACCGAGTAGCGTTATCGTTACTCGTCACGACCTTCGACGAAACGTCGTGGCTCTTCTATCGTTCTCACGCGATCGTGCAATCAATGGACGAGGAAGGAACCTCCGGCGTTTCACGAGACTCGGATGAAATCGACACGGTCGTATTCTATCGCGTATTCCGAGCCATCTCACGAACGTCCACGCGAAGATTGACTATCAAGCTCCCTCTAACGATCTTCGTCCGCGGATATTAAAATTCCCGACTGGATGGAGAGGCGTCTCTTTTAATTTCAATTTCACCTCCTCGTCCACACCCGACGTTTTCAGAGACCTCGGCGCGTCGAACGGAGATCCAGATATTCAAGGATCGTCGTCCCGCTGGATTTTCCGTCTCGATCGCGATACAAATCGACATGTCCTGTCTCGACAATCGCTTCTACGACTGTCCATTGCCGCGAGAAACGTTCGACTGTCGAATTTCATCATTCAGATTCGTGAATCTTCGATGAGTCACTTTCACTGATCGTCGCGTTTCGATTTTCAACATTAAATTTGCCTCGTTTCCGAGTTCGTTCTGAAGCAAGCTTTCTGTTCTAGAAATTAAATGTCGAACGAGGAAATGTTTGAAACGTTCTCAGTTTTCGGAAAATTTCCGCGAAATCGATCGTTTCACACGCGCGAGGAATGAAATGAATTGCTGTCGGCCGCAGTGGACAGCGATAACAGTGGGCTCGACGAGTAAGTAAAGTAGGCAACGCGAGAGATGACGATGATGCCTGAAAGGAGAGTGGTTAAAGGACAAATTCTTACCAGCTCCTCGTCGTTGAGCGTGGCTCTGGGCACCGCCGACGTTAGACCCGCCGCGTTCCTCTTGGTCGCCGCCATTGTCTGAGAAAAGATAGATACATTAATGCACATCTGACACGTGAACAGTTGCCACCGGTTGCTTTCTCTAGTTGTGTGTAGACAAAGAGTAAAAAAGAACAGGAAGAGAATAACTGAACGGTGAAATGTGGAGATGACGATGAGAAGAGAACGAAGAAAAGAAAAGAAAGGAAAAGAATTAATTGATTGCGAAGTTACTGAAACAGGAAAGGAAACGAAAGTAAGTCGCGGTAGAAATGCGACGCGTCGATATTTGAAAAAAAAAAAATAAATAAAAAAAGTGTGGAACATAAATAACGCGCGTTGAGAAAAGCCGGGTGTTATGAAACTGCGATTTCGAGCAACAAAAACGATTTATGGAGAATGTACCATGCCAAATATATTTGAGATATATTTGCGTTGTTATTTACAAAATGTTATTTACAGTCACGAGACGATGGTGTTTTATTTACATTGGCTCGCACGGAAAGCCTTGTGCCCCGAGCATTTTATCATGATCAGAGAACGAGCTTCTTGATCCTTAATCTACACATGATATTCCGGTAAGGTCTCTTGGAGAGTTAACGAAACCGGTATGAAAAGATATTTCGGGCGTATAAATCTTTGATAACGACTGGTATTTAATAAACAATAAATATTTAAGCAAATACTCGGAAATGAAGTTTAACAATACTTCGTATTTGCGAGGCGCTATGTAATATCTGCAATACAGGATCGAGTAGCTCTCTGTTTTGCAATTGTAATTGAAAAAAAAGAAAAAAACGAATCGAAAAGTGAAGAAAAACACGTATTATCGTTCGTATAAAGACACAGAGAGAAGAGTTAGCAAAGGAAGAAATCTGTGATTGAACAACAGAACCGAAATAAACGAAACGAGAGAAAATGGATGAGACGCAGATGAAATGAAAAAAAAAAAGGAAAGAAAACAAATGACAAACGAAGAAAGAAGATGGCGAGAGTGAAAAGAAACAGGACGATATATATATAAATGATAAACGTCATCAGGATGAGAGTGAAAGGCTGAGCGAGATAGAGTTGGTGAATCTCTACGGAGAGAGATCTCTAATCCAATTAGTTTGTAACGCCTGGTAGGTGTGGCGCGCGGTAGGATTTGCGGCTGCCGCTAGATTTCAATTAAGATGTTATGCACGGGGCCCCGTGCTCGTTGCATGCGCTACTGTCTTGTCTCACAGTGGACAGACGACTAATTCCGAGCTGGCTAATTTCGCGCATCACCAACGCTCGGCTCTGTCGGACGTACTCTATCGGCTTTTCTACTCTCTCGAAAGCGGTGTACTATGTGGCGTGTATACAGGTATGTATATTTACAAGCGTTCACGAGCACGGGGCACCGTGGCCTCCTCTATCTTTTCACCTTTCTTCGTCCGCGTATGCACTCTCCAATTGCACGAATTCGACGAGAACTGTACATATACATATACATATACATACATATATATATATATACATATATATATATACGCACGATCGCCACAATCCTGTCATCATACGCACGTATGATACACGCTTGCTTTATAGCTAGCATGTTTGCCTGAAGATTCGTCGTACTGGACACACGTTTTCTTCCGTGAGTAATACCTTTGCTGTCCCTTTCTCGCCTTTTCGGAATCGAAAGACACGTCGTTTGGAGAAAAAAAAAAGAAAAAAGAGAGAGAGAGAGAGAGAGAGAGAGAAAATCAAAGAGAAAGGAAGAGCAGGAAGAACGACTCGTAGGTGAGGTCAGTCTCGTGTTCGTAGACGTGTCCGCGATTGACTTGGTCTTCGAAATCTAGAGTCGTTCGTCTGGTAATTACAGCTGTACAAACGTGTCGTACTTTGCAGTATCGAACTAACTATGGTATCTGGACTACTCGTTCATGCGGCTCGTCGTGACGAAGAACATTCTCACGCGTGCGGGTACATCCAGAAGATTAAGAAACACCGAGTAATATCAGTCGGATCGTGCGTCTGGAACGCTTCTCGAAAGATTCAATCCCCTTCTCCTTTGGTCTTACAATTAGCATATCGATCGACGATGCTGGATCGAAAAATGAAAAGAAAGGAGAGAGAGGGAGAAGATTCATCTTTGCAACTTTACGAAACTGAATCTTTTGAGCGCGATCACAGTCGACGATCTACGGTCTACGTGAATGCAACGGCCAGCAGAGCTGATTGAAATACGAAGGCGACAATCAAAGTACGGAGGCAAAAAAGTGGCGGCGAGCGAATAAAAAGTGGTGGCGAGCAACGTTCTCCCTGTGGGGTGGCGGACGGTCCCTTTCGTTAATCACCCATATATCTCGCGATCCGTACAGCGGCAAGATGGCCGAGCGAATGCCGTTCCCGGATAATTATGTCGCGACACGCGAGACCAGTCCGCGAGCGTGTAACGTTACTTTCGTTCCCTGGTCGGTGGCGAGTTACGCAGCAATTAAGTCGATTATATCGCGTCGGAAGGGTGGCGATGGCGCATCGAAAACGTTGCTCGCGCGGAAAAACAAACAGCCCCCGTGGAATCACAGGGATCGAGAGAAAGAGAGAGAGAGAGAGAGAGAGAGAGAGAGAGAGAGAGAGAAACTGAACAGGCGCGTGTAGATTCGAGGCGTGTGCGCGAGCGGAAGAGAGAAAGTTGAAAGCAGCGAGAGTGGAAAGGAGTGCGAAGAGAAAACGGTAGAAAAGAGAGAGTGAAATAGAGAGACAGATAATAGATAGATAGATAGATAGATAGAGAGAGAGAGAGAGAGAGAGAGAGAGAGAAAGAAGTGTAATATTTATGCATACAAGCTGAAGCATGCGCTACGTACAGTGAAAACAAGCTTTTTTATTTAAACTTCGTTAAGGAGGCATTTAATTAGTACCTTCAAGACCTGGAGGTAGAGTTTTTGAGATTTTTTGAGAGGTTTTTTTCAGTGAGTGGTTTTGTTTTTTTCAGGTGTTCAGGTGGATACAACAACGGGCGCCACAGAGAACAAACAAAGAAAAATGGCATTATATGCCGGTTAGTACGTGTATCAGTTGCATTTTTTTTTTGGTTTGTTTCTTTTTCTTTTTCTCTTTTTTTTTCTTTTTTTTTTTTAATCTTTTTCTCTTCTAATGCCTCGTACATTATGGACAACAAACACATTTAGAGATCAGAGACACGGGAGGCATGAAACGTACAATCGGCGCGTCGATCTTTCAACGAGACGGTTAATAGTCTTTCAAAATTTACACGAGCATACACGAGCGATTCACGCTTGTCTGATCATCGTTGAAGCATCTGTTGAAGCATCTGAAACGTCAAGCTTCACGTTGCGAACGTGACTCAATTGAAAATGCCGTCTGTTACCGCGATAGTATTCCTTCTCGTTGAATACACGAGTACCTAAAATTGCTGGATCCGAGCGGCACGATTGCATCCTCCTCTGTCATCACGGTCCACGTAATTCTCCCACGAATGTATTCGGAATCGCGATTGCTCAAGGAACAACGCGAACGTCAAACTATGCGAAACTGGCGAAACAAGCAAAGTCCACGGGATCCAGCAACTTCTCCAGGTTACTCCGATCGATTCGCCTAGGGCTCTCGTTTCCGGTTCGACCCTACGATGCGATGGGACAATGCACTTCCTGGACACACGTGGGTTTCCAAGGACCAAGGTCACGGCACACAACAACCAAGAAGAAAAAAATTGTCGACATCGAACATCCATAGGGGGAAAGGGGGGAGGCTCAGACAGACAGACAGGTCGCGACTTCTAAAGGGGGTTGGTGGGTGGTGGGGGGAGAGAGTCCGAGAGAGAGAGCCGATTCGAGGAGTCGAGTCGTTCTCGCGTGATCGCCTTCGAAAGACGTCGTTTCGCGGAGGTTGTTCGCCTGTACTCCTCGAATCCTGCTCGTCGTGGGGTTTTGTACGTAATTTCACAGAAGTCCGTCCGTATCGATTGCACTAGACTTCACACAGAACACATACGCGACGACGGCGACGACGACGACGACGACGACGACGACGATGGGTCGAGCGAAAATCGATGCTCTTCATTAGCGGGACTTTGTTCGACGCTGTGAGAAAATTGAATATCGGCAAGTCACGGGAATCGCAGCTGCTGGGATCTTTTCTTTTTTTTTTTTTTTCCCCTCAAGTGTCGGCGTGGTGTTTTGACACGATCCGAATGTATGTACGTACGTGCTTCGTATATTAACGACAAGTACCAAAGTTTTGAGATTAAAACGCTGAAAGTTGGACGAACGACGGTTCCCCCGAATTATTATCTAGAGATAATCGAAGCGCAGCCGAGACCTTCCCCCTCTGACTCTGAGGTTTCACTCGAGCTGAATTGTTTTGTAACACGGAACGTGGTTGAATTAGCGCTGTGCACGCTTCACGTTTCTTACAGTTTTGTTCTTTCTTCAGGTAAAATAAAGAGAAATAGTTGAGATCTTCTTTCGATTAAGTCGATAGTTTATTTCGACTAAAATCTCGTGACTTTAAGTTTCATCTAAGTGATACTTGTGGGGAAGCGAGGGGTGACTCAAATAAACAGAGATGCAGGGTGTGATTATCTAACAATATCCAGATATCCATAAGTAATGCCGTTTTCTGATACTGTACAAAATTTTATTTTATTTAAGAGTTAATACAATTTGAACCTATAATATAATTTAACAATAAGCAAATATAATTTAACAATAAGCTAAATGTCAATATATTTAACTAGAATATAGGTTATGTTATAATACGTTAAATTATTGTCACTAGATGGTTTATTAAATTTGAAGAAAACGACATTACTTATGGGTACTCTTAATACAAAGGGATTCGAGTAATATCAAATCACTTTTAATTTAATCTATTATTATTCTTACTATGATATTTCTCCTCTTTGTTCAATAGATTTGCATTTCTAGGTATCGTGTAATTGTAAAATTCTCTAAAAAAGCGGCAGATTTTATCCGAGTTCCTCACGAACGCTAAACTTTCCTCTCATTTTTTTTTTTTTGTAAGGTAGGTATATGGGTTAAATATTGATATTGTACGTGACGTAGTAAGAATCTGAGGCACGCAGTCGCACGGTTCGCATAATCAATTATAAATGGTGCAAGGATAACTTTTATCTCAAAGACATCTTTTTTTAGAGGCCTTAAGACTCGATATATTATCGGCGTCTTATAATGCTTGAGAAGAAATTTCCAAGATACTTCCAGTAAACATCTTACAACTTACATATTCTCTTAAGGATAAAAAATTCCAAAACAGCTCTCGATCTTTTTTTTTATTATTTTTGTTTTAAATATGTGTTTAAGTGAAATTACGAAGGCTGCCCTCGTGTTTTCCATCAGCCACTTCCGCGATCGTATCATTCTGATTACACGGCTCCGTGAGCGTAGACTATATACGCAGAAGTTCGTAATTTCCAAGTTTCAATAAGTTATTAATTCCGGGAACGGGCATTTTGATCGCCATTAAAGGTTTCACTTGTCCCGAGATAACGCGGAGAAATGCTACGCTTGAGATATTTACACCCTTGAGCCATGCAATTACCCCTCTCGTCTCGGATCCTTTCGCTATTACGAACAATAGACGGCCTTAAACGTGCCCTTTCGAGTGTCTGAACTTGAACAAAACACGTAATAAATCTCGCCCACTCGCGAAATTCGGTGAATTTCAATATTTCTTCGAGAGATCTGCGAATATCCAAGCTTTCATCCGTTTCGTTGCAACAATCTGAACGATGACAATAGTAAATAATCTGAATAATGATAATATCAATCTGAATAATCAATGAACGTCATGTTGGAATGTATAGTAATTAAAAAAATGTACCATCGAAAATATGGGTGACAATTTTTGTTGGTTTCTCAGCAAAATTACTCAATACACCACGAGTAGGATGTTAATTCAATGTTATTTTTCTAGTGATTGTATGAAATAATATTTTTAATACTGCTTCATGTAGCTTCGTCAATTTTTCATTGAACGCCATTATTACTACTGTTATTTCACATAATATCACGATCGAAAAATTTCATCAAACCTTTGATATGTTCAATGCGACATGGTATTCGATAATGAACATTTCTTCCAATTCTATTTTCTTGTACTCAACTTGCACTTCAGAACGATTATTACCCACTGACTGTCATTTAATCGATTGATATTTAACATTTAATCGCGTTGAAATGATCATTTAATAAAAAGGTAACGATGTCAATGTATGTTAACCACGTGTCATACGTCGAGAATTTTTTGTTTCCAAAATTGTATATATTCTCTCAGTTTTAAGTATATTCAAGTTAAAACAAAGCAGGCGAAACAAATAATAAATTTATTACTTCTCAATAATTTCTATCTAGTGTTCGAGTTCGAAATTTGTAATATTTTAATATTGTAATATTTTCTCAGTTTTGAGTATATTTAAGTAAAACAAAATAGACAAACAAAACAAATAACAAATTTATTAATTCTCAATAATTTCTATCCAGCGATATCATGCCGGCGAGTTCGGAAAGAAAGCGACGAATTATTCCGCACGGACATTTGGTCACTCGTTATGGTCCGCAATCAGTTGCCAGCGCAACGTGGTTAATACGTAACGTATTAACAGCGGGGGCTGATTTCAAATGCCAGCGATGAAACAATGTTGCAACGAAACGCGGCAAGCGGAGTTCGGAGTTACAGGAAGTCGAATCTGACCGAGTTAAAACGCGCCGTGCAATTTTCCAGAGAGCCGCGTAGGTATTACGAGAAAACGTAAATAACGTTGTAACGAGTTCCTCTTTTTTCCCCCCACCTTTCTCTTTCATTTTATTTTTAATTCGCAACAGGATTTTCCGAGCGTCCGTTTAAAGTCGTCGCCCGGCGAACACGCAAGGGCGAGTGACGCAAAAGCGAGCCCCTGGCGTTTCAAAGCGCGTTCTCTCGAGCACGCATAATTGCCGTTTACATACCGGAGCCGCGTGTCAGATACAGAATTTTCGTTCGAGCTTTCCACGCTAGCTTTCGTTGCAATTAACCAGGGTTTTTTTTTCCCTTTCTTTCTCTTTCGAGGCCATCGCGTCGAGAAATTTCTATTTCCCATTGTGTCGGTGTCGTATGAAAGAATCGTGCAAGTAAAAAATGGAGCGAGACTCGAACGCGTCGAAAGCTTTTGCGAAACTTTTCAATATAGAAATAACCGAAGGCCTTTCGCCTGCGTTTTCTTTATGTTTCGATGATCTCTATTTTCCGCGACGAAACAAGACGCGTGTATTTCTGTTGCCAAAATTCGCGGCTCTGAGGTAGTTCTGCACAGAAAGTTCAAAGTTCGTCTCTTCTAAAGAAAAAAAAAAAAAAAATGAGAATTTTCCATCGCGTTATTTTATGGGTATACAAAATGAAACTAACTGGTACATTTGATTTCTGAGGTTCGGAATGCTTTGTGTCAGATTAATTTAAAAGCCCCCTTTGTCGGAGCATTCGCTATTCCCACTCGCCCCCTAAATTTTTTTCATCGAATTTTATGTGGCTTTCTCAATTTGTGAAATTGGTCCGCGTGCAAGAGATAAAAATTGCACGCGCTTTTCAATTGAACGCATTGATTGAAAACGTTCACGGCGTTCCTTTAATGGAATAATTGAAGAGGGAGATTCCAAGCGAAAGGAAGAAGGAAAAAAAATTACTCCTTTGTCAGTGGAGAAAGAACCTTTTTTCTCGCCCTTTTTCGCGGAGCTCCGTCGTTGAAAAATATAGAGCAAACGTTTGACCCTCGAAAGTATTTACCACTGACAGCGGTATCTTTTCATTGGGAAAAGCCGTCTAAATTGCGTGCCTCCGAATTTTCTCGGCCATTCGAGCCTCTGCCGCGTTTGTTACCCGCGTTTCTGCAATGCGGATCAAATTGAATTAAATGGTGCGCAGGATGGAACGTAATTTGCGGTACGATTGGAAGGAAACACGGTGTCTCGCGCAATATGAAATTTCAATTTTGAAATTCAATGCTGAAGATTGATTGAACGCGGATTGATGATCTTTAAGGGTTATATGTCGTTACGTTTGTTGAAATTCCTATACAGTATTGTTAAAACTGCCGTATCTGTCTAAATCATACTGCAGTATACGTATTCTTTAGCTGCGTGGAATATTAATATCGACAAATAATGATTCATTTATTTATCGTACAGTAGAAATATATTTCAAATAATATGTAATAACAAGTAATTGAACTCTATTCTTTCAACTTCTTCTCAACACATACACTATTATCCATTTACTATTAACTGATATTACGTTTCGAAAATTTTATTTTCTAAGAAAATGTTTATGTAGTGTGCATATTTCTTACCTGCGTAGCAATACGCATTCTCCCTTATTTAAAATTACGTAGATTACCGTCTAACCTAAATTCAATTCAAAAGCTCCGTATCTTTAAAAACCGCGCTTTTACTCTCGTACTAAAAACACAGCTGTAGCGCGAAACAATACCTAAGAGGTAATCCATTCAATTTTCTCAAACGCCTCTGTTTGGAATTTTCGCTCGACCCACTGACGATGAGGACGCTGGGTTAAACAAAGGAGGGCGGTATTTAATAAACGAACGGCGAATTTTTGCGACACGCGAGTACTTGCAGTCGCAAATTTTCACACGGCCGGCTCTTAATATTGCAGCGCCTGGAAACTGTGCACGCGACGACTCGACTGCGAAATGGCGACGCAAAGCGCGAAGAAGGTCGATGAAAACGAAAGCTACGCCTCACGTGGAATTTCGTATAAGCGTCGGACGCACGCACGACAGATTTATATTGATACGACGGAGAAGCAATGTTCCAAATGTTATCAATAATGGATAAAGATCACATTTTTCACAATCTCGAAACAATTAAAAGATCGTTTACAGTGTTTCAACTTCAACTACCTCGTTCATTTTCCGTATCTTTATTTATGCTATGTCTGTTTTAATTGTTTCTAATTAGCGTCTAAAGTCAATTTTCATTACAATATTTCATGCGTGAAATCGCATGTGAAGTGTATCGATTTATCAAATTTATACAAATTCATCTCTTTCATTATCCTACATCTCTCTTCAAGTGATTTCAAAATAATTCAAAGATCGTTTTCACCTCAATTACAATATTCGTTTCTCGAATTTTTGATTGCAATATGACATATTAATCACACAGTGATTTATCAATTTATAAAATTTATACGAATTCATGTCTCTTACTTCATTGATAAAATATTCACTTATGTCGATACAACAGACTGTTGCCTTCTTCCACGCGTGATTTTTAAATTCGTGTCAAAGGAAACAGCAGCGTATTAAGAAACGAAAAATTAAAAATTATTCATCCGGAGATTCCTCGAACTAAAGAGACTACACTTCATAGAATTATTATACTCGTACAAGGAAAGAGAGACTCAGAGTGATAAGAAATTATTTTTCCAAACACTTGAAATTTTTCTGAAATATTTCTTGCACGTAGCGTGTGAAGTTGGAACATGTTTTCGCACGCATCGTTGAAAACTCTCTGACGCGCTCAGTGTCGGACGTTTTAACGATCGTCGACGATTTAACGTCGGGGAAGCTGCTCGAGTTGCAACGACGAGATGACAATCTCGAAGAAACGCGGTCGTACGCGCGATCCGGATTTATCGCGTTGTAAAAGCACGCGGACTTCTCGGTGGAAACATGGTCGCGCCAATGTGAACGCCTCGCTCCGAATAATGGCGGCGTTTCGGGAAACAGATGAGCCGAGACGGGAGATGTTCTCGCGCGGAGTAAGTTCCTCGGTCGCTTTAAATGGCGGTCGTTTATCGCGTTCTTTTAAACTGCGCGTTCGAACGTTGTGGACGTGTCGGACTGACGCGTTAAACGAAGCAATCCAACAAAATAAACGTACCGCGCGGTTTTTGCACCGTTGACTTTGAGAGAACGTGCCTTCGTAAAAGTTCGATCTCTCTCACGAGATATTCGACGCGAACGTGGAAGCATAAAAATATAATAGGGTCAGAGAGATGACGTGGTTAGGTACGAAAGGAGCATTGTTTGATAAATCTCCACAAGTTCGAAGTGAAGTTGGAAGTTTATCGAGACACGACCACGGCGTAATCTTGGAAACGAACTTGACATATCACCGAGATTTATCTTATCAAGCGCTTCAAAACGCTTTCAATAAGTGATTTATACAAGGAGAGAACACTGTGGACAGTTATAGAGAAAATACTTCGGAAACACTTCGATTTTCTTCATGTTCGATTAAGAACATTGAATCTCGCGGAGATTTCGTGTTCTTCAAAATCAACGGTTCGTAACGACCGATGGGAGGTCGATCGTAATAAATTAACTGCTGTTATTTCGATTTGGAAGACGATTTACTCCTCGTCGTTTCTGTTAAGCAACAGGTCAAGGGGGACACGTGACATTTGCGTCGCCACATCGCAGCGAATCGTCCGACGTACGTTCTCAGAGAAAGACACTAACTTAACGATCCGGATCTTCGGTAGAAAGTTTGATAACGTCGAACGAACATACTCTGCAAAGCACTAGAAACGGAGTATACAAACAGCTGGCGGTTGACAGACGATTCGCGATAAATCTTCTTTATCTCGAATTATTCCCCCGAGAGGTGAAATCGGTCGAAAACACTCGGAGTTCTCCCCATTTCTTTCGAGTATTTGTTACAAGGGTCAATAGGCTCGCAAGCCGACGAGGAACCCTTAAAAGGGTTTCGTTCGATAGCTAAACGCGACCTTCACCCCTTGCGAGTGAAATGGTCGGCAATTTATCGTGAAATCGTCTGTAACGCCCCTCTGGAAAAATCTTGGGTTACCGAAAAAAAACGACGTAACAGCGAAACGCAGTACACGCAATCAGGTTGCACGAGGAGATTGCCGTTCGATACTGGAGTCACCCCCGAGAAGAATGTCACTTCTCTCCAGTCGCATTTACATTGCCAACCGTAAGTACCAGGACCTTGAGATTTTTCGATCAAACTTTCAAGTGAAATTGCTCATTTTATTTCATTATAAACCTGTCTTAGGTCATTTCATAAATGATTTCGTGCCTTTTACGAATATATAAACATTTATCGTACTATCTGCTTACTTTTAAAAGTAATGCTCGTCATTATTAAATGCCTCTCGCAAGTGATTAACATTTCAATCCACGACGGTTAAGTTTAGATCAACATGAACGAGAATCTGTCAATTGAAGATGATAATAAGTCTCACTGAGTTTAAAAGGCAGAGTGAATGAGCGTCCCAATATTTATGGCCAGCAATGTATACCGGTTCCTAAAGTATTGAAACACTTTTCTGCTGTATCGTTTTGTAAGCGAATGACTCTCGAGGGCGACACGAACGGCACAACAGTTATCGATCTCGCGGACAGAACAGCCTCACGTGTTCGACGTCGTCGTCTTGCGAGGATCGAGCACGAACAGGAACGGAGTTGAAAGGATCTCCCCCGTTTTCAACGGGACACAACGTGAGATGCAACAGGAATTATTGATGGGGACCAAGACTCCGTAAGGGAGCGGAACTCACATTTCGGATACAAGGTCGAGGTTGGAGAGAAGAAATTTGCATAATGGAAGTTTTCCCTTTCTGCCTCCATTTGTCAGGATGTATATAGTGGATATTTTTAGAGAGAGAGAGAAGGTTCACAGCACATTTTCACCGGGGTTAAGAAGCATTGGTCACGAAAAGCCTTGGTCGGTGTGTCTATCGTGGTCGTCGATTTACGAACTTCTTAATTATAGTGATCGTTGAATAATTTACTGCCAAATCTGGATATAATGACGACAATTAGGGCACTAAAGCTGACGTTGGTAGAACGAAGAAGTGTTTTCATCGAAGGGTTGACTTTCATTTGAAAATTTATCAAGGTGGTAATTTTTGGGGGAAATTCTTATCATTGAAAGCATGATAAGAGAAAGTAGATGAACAATTATCATTATATTAGTATTTAAATTAAAATTAGTTCTGAATTAAAATCGTGGCTAAGGTTCGGAGCAAAAGAGATGAGCAGATAATTGTGGGTTAATTAATTTGTCTCGAGATAATGAACTTGGTAATGCGAAAGAATATTCCTTGACTGTATTATCCCGACGTGCCCGGTTTGGATTCGATTTGAATTTTAAAGTTATAATATCTTTTTTGAATTATTCAAATTTGATGAAAAATTATCAGTTTAAAATTAAATTTCCTATTGCAAGTTTTATTCGTTGCATTTAATAAAACGTCTAATAATGAATTCCATCCAATTAACCAATGTTCAAACTGTTGATACGAGTTGATACTTGAGCAGTAAAATACCACAAAAACGAGGCACGAATTCTTGTCCCAATTTTCCCGAAGTTCGCGACAAAACGATAAGGGCCAAGTTTTTAATAGGAAAACTTTATTGCACGAGTCGAATGTCGTCGAATTGCCAGGGTTAGTTGTGGTTGAGCTTCGATCATTCTAGTCCAACGATACGATTGAATAATCGTACAAGCAACGAAATAATTTCGTGACTCGCAAAGAGGCACGAATCATCTGCGACGACCACGATCAGGAGTGACCGACAACATTGACGACGACGTCGACGAGGACAAAGAACGAATAGACGACGACGACGACGACGAACCAACAAAATGTCGTCGTCGATTCTTTATTTTCGTGAGTATAGACGATTCGGACAACGCGAATATACGTCCGCGTCTCGTACATGTGTACGTATCCATATATGCATAAACGGTAGGACGCAGGATTGTTCAGCCAAGATAAATGGACAATTGATTACGTACCAGCTCGGAGACCAATGGCACCGATTTTCGGCGCGGCCGAATATCCGGCATGCTGTCGATGTTGCTGTAGAAAGGATTGTCTCCCGGATGCCTGGAAGAAGAATAATTGGAAAATGTTAGATTCCATGAAAAGACTACCGTCAAAAATTTGGGATCGGTGGATATTTCCTTAGAACCGATTCTGACGAAATTCCGTGCATAATTCAGAAGCGATCTCAAATTTTCGACTGGTAATGTTTTATGTAACTGTTCGTCTAATTTTATATGATTTTAATTGAATTTAAGTATGGAAAATTATTGAAAAATTTTCTATCAAAATTTTCTGATTTCAAGATGTCAGTTATCACGATTATTCCGGTTTCCTATGAAAATTACGCTTCCAAGCGTAATTACGTAATTAAACCATAAGAAAATCGTTAGAATCTAAGCGTTAGATGAATCGGTGGGTGGCGGAATTTATGGGCACTTCGATCTGGCTGGTTAACTATAGGCAACTATACGATCGCGTGTTAGGAAGTATCTGATTGTAATAAATCTTCGTCGAATTAGGCCCACGGCCAGGATCGATATTAGATTGAAAGTAATCGAACTTTCCGATTAAATTTGGAACTTCGTCTTTGAGGATCACGCGGAGCTGCTTAACCGAACCGAAAGTTTTAAGGAACCTCAACCCATCCGTCTATCTCGTTATCATCGGAGCACACTTTCTGACCTTTTATCGGCGTTAAAACGGAATCGGCGTTGCCTGAAATTAATCGGATATTGTGTCATCAAGATATTTTACAAAACGTGTATCGACACGAGGGAGAAATTAACTAATATGACTTTAATTAAGATTCATCAAATGTAATTAAGAGCACATCAGAGACGAAAAGATTTTGCGTTTGATTATAAACACGAGAATCTGTGTATTGTAGTTTTAGTCGAACGACGACCCAATTCTTTGCAAGTTCGTGCCACAGTTACCGAGATTTTATTATCGTAAATTTGCGGATCAACGTTAGACGGCTCTGTTAACGATTGTGTAATACAATCCATCACTTTTGGATTATTCGCCCCATTATCGACTCTTATTTTTCTCACTTTTCTCTTTTCTATCGAGGCAACATGCAACCCTTTATCGGGGGCAAGCTCCAATTGCAATTAACGTCGAGCCTTTTTCCCAGATAATTATCAGGGCGAATAGTGTTTCAGACTGTCGTCAGAATTTCAAATACGCAAGTTGACGCTGTGTTTATTGTTTCATAAAATTTCACGGAGATCGAGTAGTAACATTCGCTGAGAAATTAACGATGCGATTTAATTGAAAATTTCGACATCTTAGGATTTGCGTGTCTTGAAGTTACATTTCCTTTCAATGTTCGTGAAATTTCGTATCGATTCAGCTGCTACCTTCCTATAAATTTTGCGATTAACGTTTTAATGTTAACGATTAATGTTTCCCTCTCTGTTGAGGACTTCTTGGATTGCCAGCGGACTTCGAACAATCGATAGCCAGCCTTCATTGAAAACAGGAAATCGACTTGCAACAATTTAATTACAGGAAAACAAGTCTTTTTGTACGCGAGTTCGAAGAATCGACCGCTATTACGCGAGTCTCAACGTTTAATCAGCAATTCCACGTCCTCGTAACGCGATCGACTAAACGCTGGACAAAGAGACGATCTACTTTTACGACAACGGAATTATACAAATGGATTGTGGCTTTCAACTTGATGAATTTCATCGTGAATGATACGACCTTTGGAAGATATTATCGCTGCCTTTCTGGAAACTCTGTATATTCACTATTAATTTGTTAAATTCAATTCATTAAATTTACATAAACAAGGCATAATTATGCTCTATGAATATAATATGAATTTCGAGACTCGTTAGAGTTGGATAAATTTACAAATTTATCAGCATTTTGTTGAAATAGATTTTGTTTGAACTGGAAAGCACAAATTGATAGAAAAAGAAACGAATCGTCGGAAGAAAAAGAAATTAGCTGGATAAATTTAGTGGCTCTCGCAGATTACACGGAGAAAGAAAGAGATTATTGATCATTCTCCCGGAAATGCAAGGAGATCGGACAACAATTAAGAAGTACTTTTGGAGTCAACCCTATTCAAGGGTTTGTTACTCATCGAAGATCTTGGTTTTAATGCAAACAGTGTCCAGATTAAAGCTCCATTCCTCCGAGCTTTGATGTTGGTAAAATCTTGCCGCGTTTCGAAACGTTTGCAATTCGTAACAAACCGAAGGAACGATTTCATTAAACAATAAAAGATCATTTTTCCTCGAATAAAATTTTTGTAATCTGTTCTCGCGCAGTGTAACATTAACTCAGAGATGAGTGAAAATTATATTAAAGAAAATTTGGATGAAAAATGGAAAGCAAATCTCAAATAAAAATATCTAAACGTCGTTTGTCAAACGTCATTTATAAAGAAAATTTGAGTGAAAAATGGAGAGAAAATTTCAAATAAAAATATTTAAACGTCATTTATTATTACACGGGGAATCGAAACGAGGTTGAATCATAAATTTTACATTTGAGAGATATAAGGGAAAAACAGGAGCCGAAAAAAAGTAATGAAAAGAAAGTGTGAGTCATTGATTTGCCATTCACAATCTGCCAATTTGCCTCTCGCTGGGCAAAGAAATTGTAATGGAAACACAGGGATGAAGTTCCGAACTTTTTCCGATTCGATGAGAAATGAAACTCGTGTGCAGTTTCGTTTCTCATCTCCAGGGTCCAAATTCTTCGACGACGAATTGTTTTCACGAAATCAAATTCCGTCTATTGAATTTTCCGTCTTACGCGCACGGGACGGAGGGAAAATGATTTTTATCCCTTTTCCACCGATGGCACTGTTATCGCAAAATCTGTTATTGTTCGCTTCTGCACTTTATCATTTCATGCGTTTCATCTCAAACGTGACGAATGGCAACTCGACGTTGCAAGTGGAATTTATTGCGAGGACTTTATTTATTGATATTTCAGTTGAGACATACTCGGGAATTTACGTGTTATCTCCAAAAATTGTTATATCGTGAAATTTGTACAACGAAATATTTTTCTTAGAAAAATATTCTGCAACGCGTATGATCGAGGATAATATTAATATTTTCCTTTTCATTTTATGTGCAAGCTTTCCTGAGCGTCTAAAAAGAAACCACGTTTAAATTCATCGATAACAACCGCGTTAAAAATATTCCGCGCGATAATCATCAAAGCCACGGGAAAATACCGACGCGTGTCGTTCAAGGCGAAATCTTTGCAGGGCGTGTAGAAACAAAGCGAGAATGAAAGAGAGAGAGAGAGAGAGAGAACATGATTACGATGACGTAATTGAACTGGTGATCGATAGATCGACTAGTTTGATGGTACTCACCCGTTGCCTCGTCCACCGGATTCGCCGCCAGGTCCGCTGCCGTTCTAACAAACAAAAAAACAAGTTTATTAAGAAACAAGCCTAGTAACAGTTCGAGAAAACCAAGGGGAGAACGCGCGTTCGCGCGAACGACGGCGCAGGCGTACGAAAAAATATTGTACACAGTCTTTTGGAAACGCGTGGCCACCGAAACGACGCCGGAAAGACAATTTCCACAAAATAAATACAAATTAAGAAGATCCTATTATCGTATCCCCCGACTCCCGGTATTTTCATTTTCTTTTCATTTGATCGTTCGCGAGACGCATGCTCGAAATCTCTTTCCATTTCCGTTTCCCGTGGCCGCGCACGCACAATGCTTTGCCCTGTACACAAATCAGTCTCTTTTCGTCGACTTAAAAGGTAAGAAAAGCTCCGATGAGAAACAGAGATTCGTGCGCTCGATCGGGGACTCGAGAGGAAGAGGGTAGTTAGGTCTCCCTCTTCGATCGCAGCAACCCTCTCGCTCTCCTCGACTCTAGGGACGACTGGATGAAGGTAGAAATTCTCGCTGTTCTCCAACGTCGTCATCCTCTCCTTCCAGCGTAGTGTTACGTTTTTGTCGGTATGTCCTCCCTGTCACGACCACTATCCCGCAGCTGTTGACTCAGATTAAAATCTTCTTTCACCATGGCCGCTTTCCCTCCGTCGCTGTCACCTTGTCCATTTCCACCTCTATTGTTCGCAGACCCGTTCTTCTTCTTTTTCTTTTTTTTTTTTTTTTTTGTCTCTCTCTGCGAACTCGCCTCGACACTCATCGCGGAATCCAACAGTCGCGCGAACCACAGTCGGGGACGAAGCAGTAACTTCCCAGCTTAATCTCTTTCTTCGTTCTCCCGATGACATCCCTTTTTCCGATCGTTAATTCCTCCCTCGTGGGGACGTGGTTCTTCGCTCGATACTCGTTAATCAAAAGTTTTCAGGAGAATATCACGTTCATCGTGCAGGAACGTTGCCGATTTATCGGGCTCTGATAACCTTGCACGTTCGAGGTAAAGGGCGATCGTATCTCTCACAGCTCACGAATAGCGTTCCTTTTGTGGTACAAGACTGAAATTCTGAATCAAAATTATTCATCTTCCGCTTGTACGTTCTATATTCGTTATCATATTTTTGTTCTCGAAAAGGTATCGTTTGCTCGTGTTTCTTAACGCAACTGTTTTTGTTTAATAATTATTCGATCGATAATAGTATCTGAGCGACGGGTGGGAATTTTCCGACAAAGTTTCGTGGCTAGTTTCGTTCCTTGCTGCCTTCTTCCTCTCGTTCCCCTCCCCTGTTCAACTCTTTTCTTCGTGTTTGCACTTCGCCTGCGCCCCATCTGCCTGTTCGTCTCGTTCGCCCGGTGTCGCACGGAGGAATGGAAGATTGGAGACAGTGTGTAACAGCCCGTATAAATATATCACGTACAATACTTCGTAAATTCTGTCACGATAGAGATACAATATAAACTTATGGATAGCGTAACAAGTATATTTAGAGTTAGAGCCGCAGGTATCTTCTTCTCCGTTTCGTCCCTTTCTTATTTCTTTCGATTTTTGTCTTTCTCTCTCTCTCTCTCTCTCTTTCTCCCTCTTCTTTTCGCTCTCTTATTCCCCGTTAATCACCGTTCGACACCATTTACCCATTTACCTGTCTCCTCGTTACTGCCCTAATTCTCACTCATTTCGCGTGAACAGTCTTGCGTGAAAGGGGGTTTCTTTTCACCCGAGAAGCTTATTTTAGACAACACTGGAGCATGACAATTTTTTTCACTTCGCGTCCACCTTTTTTTCTTCGTTTTCTTATTATTATTATTTTTTTTTGCATTTTTTTTCTTTCAATCGTTTCTTTGCTTGCGCTTTCTTTTTTTTTTTTTTTTTTTCTTAGTTCGCTTTGTTTCGTTCACGTTTAGCCACGAAGTGGGCGCTTTCGAGCGCGTCTCTTGGATGAGAATAACGTGAATTTTTGTTATTTTTCTTTTTTCTCCTAATGTGAATTTCGAAACCATACGAGCGAAATTTCGCTTTTGTTGAATGAACACACGAAGATGGGGGAAATGTTTCTGCGTTTATATAAAGTCGCGTAGCAAAAATACGAAGCGGATTTTTTACAGTCGAAAATTTTTCTTTCTCTTCTTTATAGAGAATATATGGAGAAATGTTTGGGTTTTTTATGGAAGTAATTTTTATGGAATGGAATGATTATGAAAAATATGTAAATGAACATGAATACTCGTGGATTAATGTGGTTTTCGCGAATTTAATTAATTTGCTGGAATTTAATTAATTCGCGCTTTATGCAACGTGATTGATTAATGTTTTCACTTATCCAACGAATCAATGTCACGTTTCAAATTTTTAGATGAAGTCTTTCACAAAGTTCTGATGTAAAGGAAGATCTGATTTAACGTTTTATGTCTTCGTAGTTAATTACATGACGCTTTACATGAAGCTCGAAAGTGATAGCTTAAGCGTATTTAGCCGATGTTGTTATAGGCTTTCGGAGAATTAAAATTCCATTTTATCGCAAAATGCATTTTGACAGATTTGCAAATGATTTTCATTGCAATAGAATTCACACTCAAGTTGGAATAGTTCGAAAAAAAAATTTTGAAAACAACAATGGAGTATTACGATTTCTTCGCAAATAGAGAGAATTTCAAAAATTATAATTATATTCTAAGCAGTCTATTTATAATAATTATCTTTTCTATCGTCGGAAGCTTTTGCAATTTTTACATCATTGAATAAAGTTTGAAATAAAAATTTACTTGACAGCAAATCTCTCATCTTCAAATATTAATATAAATTTGCAATGAACACAGTTTCTGATCCCTTTCTGAGATAGACTATCCAGTAAAAGCAAATGTAATCAAGGGGCAAAACAAAGCTTCGTTTCCGAAGGAACATGTGCACAGGATCCAGCACGTTATCAATTCTCGACAGAGACGCACTCGAAGACATATTAATTACAACTGAGTAGTTACTATACGCATATAACCTACGTGGAATAGCATCGATTCGCGAGTATGATTCTGACAAGCGTTTACTTAAGAACGAAAATATCGTGTACTTATTACGTTGCTAACAAGTTGTCCGTTACCTATTAGGCCTTAACAAACTTATGCATCTTTTCTTTTTTTTTTTTTTTTGATGGTCGTGTCGATCTGCGCGTTTTATATACAAATCAACGACCACGTAAATTCACTTTAGATTTAGAGAAGTCTCGATCGAAATGCCTCTCATCGATCGAAAGACAAAATGATCTTTTGTGCTTGATTTCTCTTCGTCCCTAGAGATATGAATGCTTCGAAAAATGGCAAACGACACCGATGATATGAGAAAATGTGCGATAAAACGATGTGAACGAGACCCGACGAGACACCGAGATGATTTTTCATTCGATAATACGCGAGGAACGTTCGTATTGATTAATCATTAATATCACACTTTGGCAATACTTCTCTGGCCAAGATACGTACACTGTCAATCAGAAGTTTGGTATTTGGTGTTACTTTAATACTTAATTGAATGTAACTCTTAACATTCTTCCTTCGATTCAAGATTTATATATTATGAATATTGATAACAACTTATGAATTTTCACATTAAAAAATTCCTTGACACTTTGATCCAATGAACCTCATTTGCATAGAGAATAAATGAATTTCACGTTTCAAAAATTCCTTTGTAGTTTGATCCGATGAATTGTATTTGAATAAATTTACACATTAAAAACTTACTTAACACCCTGACGAAATGAACCACATTTGAATAAAGTATAGTCAGTCAAAGCGAAACTCGGTAGTACAGTAAATTAGAACAGACATTGCTAATCGTTTAGTTTTCAATCTTACTTCGCATCTATTGCCCTCTTCAATTCCAGACTTTTGAAATTGAAAATTTAATCGGATAACCTTATTAATAAACACTCTACTTTAAATTTCATAACTTCCCCTCGAACAGAAAACATTTCGTCAGGTGCAGTATATAATTCCAATCTTCCGGCAGATAGTGTAAGTAGCTAAGTACTTCTTGAACTTTAATGTTGTTCAAGACGTGGCCAAGATTTTGTAAATTCAGAGGGGCTTCTGACGTTTATAAAAGACGTATCCTGAATATAATTATTCTCAGGAAATTTCGTATGAAATTTCGTCGTCGCGATGTCTCGACGAGGTGACATGACGTTCGTGATACAATATTGGAATTGCTGTTGCTTATCCATTGCTCGCGTGAGAAATCTCGTGTCGCGAGATCGGGATTTTCGAGATGATGATTGATTGATTTGTGATGGGTATTAAGGAAGAGGCTGCTGCTAGGATTCGCAGCATGAATGGTCCACGTGAACTTACGACGCGATGATATGTGAGAAGAGATTGATACGTGAGATTGATACGTTTGAGATGATGGGTGACTAAATATCTAAATTCATGAATGTTCGCCGCTTTCGCAGTTAAAATATCCTAGATTCCTTAAATAATGTGTAATTATAATTATATTTTAGATTTATCAAAGTTATAGCAATGTAAATTATCTCTCTTTATAACATGTAATAAAAATTCGAAATAATTTATCTTTTCATATTTACGTTGAGATTTAAATAATGTAATGTACTCGAAAGCAAGAAAGATACTAGTGTGCTAACAGAATATTTCTTTTCTCACTCGCGTTAATATTTTCAAACCTCAACCTATCATTATGTGCTTTAGATCCTTCTTTCTGAAGTAGAGTCAAGAAGTAATTCAAAAACAGCTATAAGACGTTACAGTTAAGCTGACTTATCTGCAGAATTATCGGCAACATTGCGTCCATACGTAGAATTAACAATTATGAAAAAAGTGCTCAGGCTACACGCTACGATAATTCTTCTCGCTTCGAACACGAATCGGAGCTTGGAAGCATTGATTAAACTTTAGTTCACAAAATTAGTTATCGCCTCATCTCGACAATGTCTACGTCAACTGCTGCGTGACTAGCATTGGAGGTCGTTTTGCACCGATATTTTTAACCATTTCTGTCCTGTT